GGTTCACACAATGGCCAGCTCTGGGCCAGGCCAAAGCCAGGAACCAGGAACTTCATCAACATCTCCCATGTGGGTGGCAGAAGCCCAAACACTTGGGCTATGGTCCTTTGTTTTCTCACATGCATCAGCAGGGAGCTGGATCAGAACTGGAACAGCCAGAACTGGCATGAACTGGTGCCATGAACTGGCACCCATATGAGATACCAGTATTGCAGGCAGTGGATTTACCTGCTACAACACTGTCAGCCCCCTGACAAAATTTTTTAAATGAAAAATGAATATATAAATTAAAAGTTTATTTAAATAAGAATTGTCACTGCTGTATCATCCTTGTCATTTCAGAGATGATCACTGAGTAGGAAGGAATTTGGCCTCTCTCAAAGCAAATTATGGCCTTATTCTCTGAGAGGTCCCAATAATAGAAATGTCTTTTTTTTTTTTTTTTGACAGGCAGAGTGGGCAGTGAGAGAGAGAGACAGAGAGAAAGGTCTTCCTTTTGCTGTTTGTTCACCCTCCAATGGCCGCTGTGGCCGGCGCACTGCGCTGATCCGATGGCAGGAGCCAGGTACCTATCCTGGTCTCCCATGGGGTACAGGGCCCAAGCACTTGGGCCATCCTCCACTGCACTCCCTGGCCACAGCAGAGAGCTGGCCTGGAAGAGGGGCAACCGGGACAGAATCCGGCGTCCCGACCGGGACTAGAACCTGGTGTGCCAGCGCCACAAGGCGGAGGATTAGCCTAGTGAGCCGCAGCACCGGCCAGGAATGTCTTTATTAAAGTCTTATTGTCTCCCTCAGATCACACTGAAAAAGTTTGTGCTAAAGAGAGGACCCATAATAAGCCCCAATAACCTGACATCAGTCAGATCTCCAGAGACAGGCCAAGACGTCAGCATGAGGACAACCACATGGGCAAGCAATCAATAAACCATACCAACTAATAAAGCTTCAGAAAAAATCTGAACACTAAGGTGTGGGTGAGTTTCCTTGATCGACAATATTCTGTGTATTGTCACACATGCTGGCCCTAGATAAAACCATCCATGTTTTCACGGGGGGAGGACACGGAAGTTCTTTAAGTTTGGATCCCTGCTAGACTCTGTCTATGTATATCTTCTTTTTGGTTGGTTCTAATTTTATCTCCTTTTCCTGTAATAAATATGACTGTGACTATAATAGTTTTCAATTCTTTTTAATAAATTATCAAACCTGAGAGTGGATTTGGGAAAACCTTGGGTTTGCAATCACCAAAACATTCTACTACAGAAGAAATGCAAATCTTCAGTAATTGAAGATAATTTATTTCTTCCTTGATATTTTATTTTCTGGAATATGCATGTAATCAGTCCTGCCTTGAAGGAATTTTTTTTTTTTTTTTGGACAGGCAGAGTGGACAGTGAAAGAGAGACAGAGGGAAAGGTCTTTCTTTTCCATTGGTTCACCCCTCAAATGGCCGCTACGGCTGGCGCACCGCGCTGATCTGAAGGCAGGAGCCAGGTGCTTCTCCTGGTCTCCCATGCAGTGCAGGGCCCAAGGACTTGGGCCATCCTCCACTGCACTCCCTGGCCACAGCAGAGAGCTGACCTGGAAGAGGGGCAACCGGGACAGAATCCGGCGCCCCGACCAGGACTAGAACCCGGTGTGCCGGCGCAGCAAGGCAGAGGGTTAGCCTATTGAGCCACGGCGCCAGCCGAATTATTTTTTTTTAAGAACAGTAAGAACAGTTTGATTATCAATACTGCTCACTATCTCTGGTGAAATGTAGCAATATCTGTAAAATTTAGAATGTAACATATATTTGCACAGCATTGGGATTTGAGTACTGTGATATATTTTCAAAAAGTTCTCTAATACAAAAAAATAACATTATAGATTTTCAGTCAGTGCATTCCATGAGAAATTATCAAAAGTATTTTTCAAAATGCTGATATCCTTATTTCAGTGATCTTTCAAAAACAAGGCATTTTGTGTAAGGTTACTTCCTTAATAGAAATTAGAAAAATCTTGTATTTATCACATTTGATCTCTCTGCACTGAACATAGTCATAATAGAAGCAATTATAATCAAATCATTAAAATATAAACCAAATTATTATAATTACTTAACCTTGAGATTAGCAAAGAGATATTTTATTTAAAAACAACTTTTAGACCATTACCATCATACAGGTAGAGAAACTTTAACTGATTTAAATAAAATCCAGTCTTTCCTAAAAGCATAGGTGGTTTAAGAAAAGGAAGATCACATGTGATAAAGGTAACCGGAGAGGTAGGGAAAAGATCAATGATCATTTTTTTATATATAAAGACAGCAGACTATTCATGAGTTAAGTTCTAGACACAAGTAAATTTGGAAACAAGAAAACATTTATATATTTTACAAAAATAATCTATTTCAATAAATCTATTAAATAGGTAATAATGGATACCAAAATGATGATAAATTTATCAATTAAAAATCCATTTAACAATCAGTTTACATATTCCTTTGAATTATGTCCATAAAAACCTATAAATATACAAATCACATTCCCAAACCCAAAAGAATTTTTCTAAAATGGACTAGACGTAGACAAATTCATGATCCAAATAATTTCTAAAATATTTTCAAAATCATAGTAAATTATATCTTGTAATAGTGAATGAAACAACAAAATGACAATTATATACAATTGTGTAAGTTTCAAAAAACTCAATGAGTGAGCAATGGTGCCATATTAATTAAATAAGATACTGTTCACTAATATATATTTTATAAAATACCTATTTTGTTAGATAAAGGATCTGAAGAACAAATGTTGAAACAACAAAAAATTAAATTATAGTTATACTTAAAATATCTTAATTTTGTCCATATGTCTACAGTTGTAAATTACAGAAATATTCTCCAGAAAAGTCAGTTATTTGGTAAAGCAAGGCACACAGGACCAGATTTTGAAAAACATGCTTTTTCCTTGGTCCTATAACTACTTTAAATATCCTGGAGAGTCTTAAGATGACTTTCAATATATAATAAATAACTTTTTAATATTTTCTTATATAAAGCATACATCCATAATACTTAAATATTTAACAGTAAATGTGTAAATGAGTGATGCTAAACCCTGTTTTTCTTTTTTAAAAAAATTAATTCAGTTGAATGACTATGCAATGACATTTTAAAAGTCCAATAATTTGATAATGTTAGAGAATACAGCATGAAACTAAGTGTATGAAGCTCAACATCGGTTTCCTTTCAGATTCTGTTTTCTTAGACTTTAAATATCAAACTCTTTCATTCCATGAAATTCTGTGACATTCAACATGAAATGATGTAAACATTTAAATTTTATATCTCTAAACTACATATTTCAACTTAACAGAAGCTTATAACCTCTCTAAAATCAATTATAGAATAATTGATAACATCACTGTGTTACTGTATCTACTTTTCTTTCCAAATATTGTACCCTTAATTTTTAATAGAACTATCAATTGGCACTCTTCTCCCACAAATTAACACATCTTCACATTGAACAAAGTAGTTGATAAATAACTAACTTAAAAGAATCAAGGAATTTAAATAATCAAGGAGACAACATTATACAAGATTGATACAATAAGGCCTTTAAAAGTCATCAAAACATCAGGACATTATCTGTATACATGACATGATCTAAAGGTCTACTTTCTCAAATATTTCTTTATGAATTAAAAATTAAAAACTACATAGCCCAATCTCTAATAATAAACATTTCAAGCCTAATAGAAAAGCACAATATAAATTATGCTTTCTAATAAAGTTTTGCTTTGAAAATATACTTCAGACTATTTAGTTTTTGCCCATATCCACAATTCAATTGCATTATTATAAACTTTGTTGAGAATCTTGAAAATCGTGTTATTCTGGACACCTGAAAATGTATTATTACTGTAACTAACATGTTTAATATCCAATAGTTTACTTGAATAATTTTTGAAGTGTTAAAATAGGAGCAAATTAAACCTGAATTAACAACTGCAAGTGTACACTTGATGTAAAACATAAGTACACAAAAAATTTCAATATAAGCTGAGCATATTCAGTCCTAAATTCTATGAATTTACAAATTTAGATTTCACTTAGTAATGGGTAATAGGATATATGTCTATTATCATACATATTATCATGGCCTCAAATCATCATGCTGAAAGAATGAAAAAGTTATTTTAAAAATATCCTGGAAGGCAGTAACTGAAAATCTTGTTTGACATTCAAAAATATGCTTACCATTTTGTTAATACTAGCAAATTACTTGTAAATATTTTGAAATATTAAGCACTTTTAAAGTTTGGATGGAATTGATTATGTCTGTAACCTGTAGCGACTACTGGCATTTACAAAGTATTGCTGCCAGTCCAACCAAGCAAGAGAACATGACAGTTCCTAACATAGTACTTTTGAGCCAAATTCTAGTTAACAAAAGCAACTAGAACTATATAAAATATTTATTTTATTATAGCTTTTACATCTATTAAAACGGATTTTTAAACATATATACAGCATGAATGAAAAAATAAACTAAAATACTTCATATACTCAACAGGTAATTCTGTCTACAGTCAATAATTAAATTAAACCCATATTCCAATTTCAGAAAGCATTTTTGCTCACCAATTTATTGATTTATATTCTCTCCCCTTGTGTAAATTTATTAAATAACTCATGTTATTTGCATCCTCAACTCCAGTGTTAAAAAGAAAAAAAAATCCACTATTTTAAAGCAAAATGGTGGCACCTTCCCAGCAGCTCTTGTGGGGACACAGAAAGGAAACTCAGGAGTCAGGTACCTCTCCCAGTCATGTATTCAGAGTATTACCGGGGTCAAATGGTTCTATCAGAGGTCTAAAACTTCTGAGCAGCTTTAGATTTAAAGTCATAGAGTCGTGTAAAATAATCTAATACAGCAATTGGAAATGTTTCTAAGAAAAGTCATTATGGTCTCTGTCTACTGACATGTGTACTACTATTCATTTGGTTGCTTTATAAACAATTGTAGATTAAAGAGAGTTTTGACAGAGCAATGAATAAGATATTCTTGTAGGCCGGTGCTGTGGCTCACTAGGCTAATCCTCTGCCTTGCGGCGCTGGCACACCGGGTTCTAGTCCTGGTCAGGGTGCCGGATTCTGTCCCGGTTGCCCCTCTTCCAGGCCAGCTCTCTGCTGTGGCCCGGGAGTGCAGTGGAGGATGGCCCAAGTCCTTGGGCCCTGCACTCCATGGGAGACCAGGAGAAGCACCTGGCTCCTGCCTTCGGATCAGTGCGGTGCGCCGACTGCAGTGCGCTGGCCACAGCGGCCATTGGAGAACGAACGGCAAAAAGGAAGACCTTTCTCTCTGTCTCTCTCTCTCACTGTCCACTCTGCCTGTCAAAAATAAAAAAAAAAAAGAAAACTAAATAAAAAAAAGATATTCTTGTAAAAACTTTCTAATGGTATACAGTATATGCTTGATAATTCAAAATTCTCCAAATGGAGATATTAGACAATAACTTTATGTTAAATTACTAAATGAATATTTAATCCCTTTAAATTAAAACTTTAATAGCAATTAATACAAATGAATTGAATTTAAACCAATATTAAGGATTCACCTGACTTACAGAAAAGAAATGGAAGAAGGGGAAACTCCATTAGCATAAAAGTCAATGGTTACTACCACAACAGCAACCAGAATACTTTCAGCTGTCTCTAAGTACTAAATGGTCTAAAGATGTATATATGGAGAAACAGATATATTTCTATGCTAAATATGAATTTGATTCTCTAACAAATCAGACCTAGAATGTGACTTAATCAATTCTTATGTAGTTCAACAAGTAACATTTAATAATCCTTGTTTAGTAACATTTTGTATAAATATAAAAATCTCAGATATGTGAAATATTTTCTTCAAATCAGACTTCCATTTTTTCACAGTATTATAGGTAATTAGAATTTTCAAACTTTAAATATTCCATGTGATTTTATAGATCTGTACAGAAACAATAAGATTAAAAAATTTAGTAAGATTAAATAGAGTTTGTAAAAATTGATTTAGGACATTTGTGTGCTCTTGCAAAGAGTGCATAGGACATTTCTGCAGCAATCAAAAAGGTAAAATCTTTCTAAACTCAGATTTCAAGTTTCCTCCCATATTTCTTTTCATTTTAATCCCTGGAATAACTTTCAAGTTTTGATTTCTAGATGTAATAGATTTTGTTACATATACAGTACACACATTTTATCTTTAAACCTGTGTATTCTCAAACCATTTTAAAAAATCTGATCAGATTTAGCATGATGATATCTTCAGAATCTGTAGAAGTCCTCCGTGCAAGATTAATGTCGAGATTTCTAGTGCACCATCTTGAAAAACCAGTTAAAGACAGTTTTTGGCTATGCTTTAGTGAGATTTCCTGCAGGCTTGGGATCATAACCATATAAGAAAGTAGCTGTTATTACAAGGATGGCTCCAAGGAAAAAGACACTATATTAGATGAAGGAAAAATGAAAAAGATAAAGTCAGATTAAAAGCATAACAATTCCTTCTATTTCTTTACTATAAAAACAAGTATAATTTGGTGAAACAATGATCCAGTTAAAATGGCTAACAAATATTGCTTACTACACTATAGGTATTCAGCTAAGTACTTTACATATATTATCTCATTTAGTTCTCACAACAACCCTATGAAGAAGTGCTAGTATTACCTTCATTTTTTCATAATGAGGAAACAGGTTTAAACAGTTTAAGTAACTGCCTAAAGTTGACAGGATTCAAATTCAGGTATGTCTGACCTTAGAGTCTGTACTTTCACCCACTGTACTACATTTAGTGTGTCCCAAGACAAAAATGTGTTAAATGTTATATTTCACTTTAATATGCATTTTGCACACAATATATTCAATAATAAAAGGACTCTCTTTACATATTTGAAAATATAAAAGGAAAACTACATCCTTCCATTATCAAATCAAGGTAAACTTTAATTTTAAATCCAAAGTAAAAAGTAAAATTGAAGACTAATTTTTATAGGCTGCTTTACAAAAAGAAATCATATTAAATGCAGGGAGTTCTCTGTTTCCTCTTATTCTATTTATAGATAGAATCTACCTTACTATAAAACTGAAAATGAACATAAACTGGGCATAAATTAGATTATTAACCTTAGTTATTTTTAAGCTTTTTTTAAAAGATTTATTTATTTATTTATTTATTTGGAAGTCAGAGTTACAGAGAGAGGAGAGGTGGGGCGGGGGGGAGACAGAGAGTGAGACACAGAGACAGAGAGGTCTTTCATCCGCTGGTTTGATTCCTAATTGGCTGCAACAGCTGGAAATGTGCCAATCCAAAGCCAGGAGCCTGGAGCTTCTTCCAGGTCTCCCACATGACTTGGGCCATCTTCTACTGCTTTCCCAGGCCAAAGCAGAGAGCTGCATTGGAAGTGGAGTAGCCGGGACTCAAACCAGCGTCCATATGGGATGGTGGCACTTCAGGTGGCAGCTTTACCTGCTGCACCACAGAGCCAGCCCCACTAACCTTAATTTTTAATGTGTACATTTTGAAAAATGTTGTTATAGAGACACGAATTAGTCTTGACTTTAAAGTTTCTATTAGGAGCTGGGTGTTATGGTGGAGCACGTTAAGGCACCACTGGTGATGCTGGCATCCCGTATCAGAGCACTCAGTATCCAGCTACTCTGCTTGTGATCCAGATCCCTGCTAATGCGCCTGGGAGAGCAGCAGAAGATACCTCAAGGGCTCAGGCCCCTGCCAGCCTTGTGGGAGACCCAGATAGAGTTCTGGGCTCCCAACTTCGGCCAGCTGCAACCATTTGGGGAGCCTAGTTTATGGAAAATCTCTCTCCCTCCCTGTCTCTTTCTCTGATGCTCCCTATTAAATCAATCAATAAACAAATCTTCCTATTAACGAAACAAAATCATCCTCATTTAAAAAAATGTTCTGTAGGGGCCAGTGTTGTGGTGCAGCAGGTTAACACCCTGGCCTGAAGCGCCGGCATCCCATATGGGCGCTGGTTCTAGTCCCAGCTGCTCCTCTTCCGATCCAGCTCTCTGCTATGGCCTGGAAAAGCAGAAGATGGCCCAAGTCCTTGGGCTCCTGCACCCGCGTGGGAGACCTGGAAGAAGCTCCTGGCTCCTGGCTTCAGATCAGCACAGTTCCGGCTTTTGCAGCCAACTGGGGAGTGAACCATCGGATGGAAGACCGACCCCTCTCTCTCTCTCCCTCTCTCTCTCCCCCCCACTTTCCCTCTCCCTCTCTCTTTCTCCACCTATCCTCTCTCTCTGTGTAACTCTGACTTTCAAATAAATAAATACTTTTTTTTTTTAAAAAGAATGTTCTGTAAAGAAAAGAGATCATTAATCCTTACCATGAGATCAAATGCCTTTCATAATCTGGTCTCTACAATCATATACTCCCTATTTCACTCCACACTAATCTATAATTCAGCCACTCAACTCAACAAACATATTGTGCTCTTTCATGACAGTGTCTTCATAGATCTATCCTCTCAGTCTGTAATTTCCTTTGTCCCAAAGAAATCTTTCCTAACAATTCAAGTTTAATCTCTCAAAGACTCTAGCCCTGTAGACGGTTATGCTATTAGAAGACTATTATTAACAAAAATTTTTTTCTCAGAGATTTATTTGAAAGTTAGAGGGACAAAGAAAGGGAGAGACAGAGAGAAAAGGGGATCTTCTATCCATTTTATTCCCCAAATGGCAGCAACAGCCAGGACTGGGCTATGCCGAAGCCAGGAGCTTGAAATTCTTTCCTGGTCTCCCATGTAGATGGCAGTGACCCAAGTACTTGGGTCATCTTCTGCTGCTTTCCCAGGCACATGAGCAGGGAACTGGATTGGAAGTGGAACAGCCAGGACACAAATCTGGGTCAGAAGCAGAGTAGCCAGGACTCAAACTGGCACTCTGACATGGGATGCCTGCATTGTAAACAGTGGCTTAAACCACTGTGTCACAATGCGAATCCCTAAACAACTCATTATTTATCTGTCTGTTCCACTGCTCAACAAAGTGCTCTTTGTTTATTGTTGTACTTGGTGCAAATGGGTAACTTTTCCAAAGACTTAGATTCAGTTATGTATATGAAATTAAAATAACAGGACTGGTGTTGTGCTACAGCAGGGTAAAATGCTGCCTACAACACTAGATACGACACTGGATCTCAGTCCAGTCCTGGTTGCTCAGCTTCCAATCCAGCTCCCTGCTAACGTGCCTGAAAAAGAACCAGAAGATGACCTGAGCACTTAGACCTCTGCCACCCATGTAGGACACCTGGATGGAGTTTCTGGCTCCTGGTTTCATCCTGGCCCAGCCCTGACCATCACAATCATTCGAGAAGTGAACCAACAAGTAGAAGTCATCTTTCTCTATGTCTCTCCCTCTTTGTTACTCTGCCTTTCTTTTTTTTTTTTTTTTTTTTTTTTTTTTTTTTTTTTTGACAGGCAGAGTGGACAGTGAGAGAGAGAGAGACAGAGAGAAAGGTCTTCCTTTACTGTTGGTTCACCCTCCAATGGCCGCTGCAGTGGCGAACTGTGGCCGGCACACCACGCTGATCCGAAGCCAGGAGCCAGGTGCTTCTCCAGGTCTCCCATGCGGGTACAGGGCCCAAGCACTTGGGCCATCTTCCACTGCACTCCTGGGCCACAGCAGAAAGCTGGACAGGAAGAGGAGTGACCAGGACAGAATCTGGTGCCCCGACCGGGACTAGAACCTGGGGTGCCGGCGCTGCAGGCGGAGGATTAGCCTATTGAGCCGCGGCACCAGCCACTTTGCCTTTCAAATAAAAATAAATCTTTCAAAAAATTATTAAGATAACATAAAACTTTCTATAATATATCTTGAAGAAATTACAGCATAAATATTATATAATTATTTAGGCTTTGGATAAACTTTCTGGATAATTTTTTCAGCAATCAATATGAACTTTTCTTGGCTTTCCAAAACTCTAGAACTGTGTAGACTGAAAATCTAAGCTCAAGTAAGCTGTCTGACTCAACTTTCTACCCATTGCAGCAATCTCTTCTGTGATACGTCTAACAGGATCTACTTGAATATCTAATAATGTCAGCAAATGCCTGATTCTCAAGCCAGAACTTCTTAAATGGCTTTGAATGGAATATTTTTGTTAGGGGGGAAAAAAGCTGTCACAATTTAATGATTATTTTAAGAATTTGAGCTAACAATATTATATTTCCATTGATACATTGATCATACTGCTATAAATTATTTATTCACATGTCTGTCTCTCCCTGACAGACTGTATGTACATTTTTGTGTTTGTTTTTGTTATAAAAAGCAAACCTGGGGCCCAGCGCTGTGGCACAGCAGGTTAATGCCCTGGCCTGAAGCACTGGCATCCCATATGGGCACTGGTTCGAGTCCTGGCTGCTCCACTTCCAATCCAGCTCTCTGCTATGGCCTAGGAAAGCAGTGAAAGATGGCCTAAGTCCTTGGGCCCCTGCACTCGCATGAGAGACCTGGAAGAAGCTCCTGGCTCCTGGCTCCGGATCGGCACAGCTCCGGTCCTTGCGGCCAACAGGGGAGTAAACCAGTGAACGGAAGATCTCTCTCTCTCTCTCTCTGCCTCTCCTTCTTTCTGTGTATAACTCTTTCAAATAAATAAAAAAATTTAAAAAAAAATAAAGTATATCCTAGTAATGTATACATTCTAAACATTTGTAAATAACATTAAATCATATAATGAACAAGAAATAAAGCATCCTTATGATAAAAGCGCTGCTAGGTTAGTCTAAGTGATTCATTTCAACATGAAGCTGAAAAAAGAAATACTTTCAAATTTTTGTCTCTGAAAAGTACAGATTTCAACAGAAATTCCTATCTGTTGTCCAAGTTTTAGTGAAGGATGAAAAGCATAAATTTTGATATAGAAATACTATATTTTTCTTTTTTTAAAAAAATATTTATTTATTTATTTATTTGACAGGTAGAGTTACAGACAGAGAGAAAGGTCTTTCTTCCGTTGGTTCACCCCCGAAATGGCCGCCAGGGCTGGCGCACTGTGCCGATCCAAAAGCAGGAGCCCAAGCACGTGGGCCATCCTCCACTGCCCTCCTGGGCCACAGCAGAGAGCCGGACTGGAAGAGGAGCAACCAGGACTAGAACCCGGTGCTCATATGGGATGCCGGCGCCACAGGAGGAGGATCAGCCAAGTGAGCCACGGCGTTGGGCCCTGAAAAACTATATTTTTCTACTGCCAAATTTTATCCGTGATCTTATCTCACTTCCCTCAATAATTGAATTTTCATAGTTTTAAAAATTTTAAATCTTGAACATTCACTTAATAAACATACTGAGTAGCTATTATGTGCTAAGATCCAGCCCTGCTTATTTATCAGATGGTGATAAGTCTTGTGAAAAAAGAAGACAGCACAGAAGTGGACGTTCTTTCATTTGGGAAGTCTGTTGATAAAGTGGCATTTGAGCTGA